TTTGTCAATATTATCGCAAGTTTTCTGATGAGCATGTGAGGCGATATGCGCACACATGTTAGCTCGGGTTATGTATGTCGCTGATGTTCTGAGAATAAAGTTAGTTCTGAGTGATGCCCTTTGTTTTCTCCTTAATTTTTCTTTCCTCGATGGCATGCGTCTCTTTTGTATTTTAGTAAGCAATGTCCCAGCTAGCCCAACAAAGTTTTATTATAACTATAATTATTAAAAAAATAGTCAGCCATGTATCAAACATCAAATAAAAAACAATAATTTTTATATATCGTATATGTATAAAGCTTTTACAGAAGTTAGAAAACTTGCTGCATTTCTCACTGGGAATTTCGGCATGCAAGTTGCCTCCACAGCACTATTTTATTGTAATGTAAGGAAGATGGCTTGCACAGCCACACGAGGGGATGTTAAGAAGTCTTCCTTCTTTTTATGTTATTCTTTTGCAGCTTGTAATTATGGGCAGGAAGATATGTTATCGATGTAAACAGTGCTCATATAGCTGTGTGTACTTGTCGTTGTCTCTAATCAGTGATGGAAGTCATGGTTCAATTGCTCCAAAAGGGAAATGGTGCTACATGCTGCTCAGAACTGTGATTTTCGATTGTAACTTCTTGAAACCAGCTACGGAACTGCGCTGAGAAAACTAAGACAAGGAATGTAAATCGGGTGACTGACTCGCAAGTACACAGCTTGATTGGCTCTGGTCTTAGTTATGTAATGCAACGGCAACTGCTGGCATATCAAGCATATAGCCCAATTTAACGTTATTTTATTTTATCTTTTTCCTAACACTCTAGTTTTTTACTGTTATAATATTTTATCTTTTTTTCCCAACACTCCAATATGCAGACGAAGGAAACACAGTGCCGACCAACGTAAAAATATATTCTGAAAGGGGTACAGACACAAGATAATGATTTGTGGGGTTTAACGTCCCAAAACCACTATTTGATTATGAGAGACGCCGTAGTGGAGGGCTCCGGAAATTTTGACCGCCTGGGGTTCTTTAACGTGCACCCAAATCTGAGTACACGGGCCTACAACATTTCTGCCTCCATCAGAAATGCAGCCGCCACAGCCGGGATTTGATCCCACGACCTGCGGGTCAGCAGCCGAGTACCTTAGCCACTAGACCACTGTGGCGGGGCTACAGACACAAGATAGCCTGCGGGATCCTGCGAATCTGTATGCCTTATTTACTCTCGAGTTCTCGTGTCGTGCGATTGTAGTGTCCAAACATTACGCGAGCAGCGTAATGAATCCCCTCCCTCCTTTTTTGGGAAAAGTTGACGCCGATTTGGTGGGAGGGTTCAGAAGTTATAACAGCAAAAATTTCGCATGACAGTTTTGCTTGTTTTGGCCTGTGAAGTGCACGATGAATCATATTTGCAGCCCGAAGCTCTTATTCATAACAACGCAAATGTGAGAAAAGTATGCATGTATTGTGCGGAACCCTTATACAAAATGTAACATTGACGCCAACGTGAAGCAGTCAGATTCATTTTTTAAATATCTCTCAAGTGATTTCCTAAACAGTCTTATGCTAGCTAACAACATTGAAACTTTGAAATTATGAAAAAAAATTTGTAGAGCGAAATTTATTTTCGTTGAAGAAAAATAGTTTTTTCATTTGTCTGTATATCTCTTATTTAAGCCACATGTAGCACGCTGAATGAGACATCGCCATGCAGAATCGTAAGGCCGTACCTCTAAAAAACTAATACTGTTCTTTTTTCCAGCCGCATCCTAATCGATCAGGGTGACTTATCCGTAGCTAAATCATGGAGAACTAACGCTATTAGTTGTTGAATAGGTTATTGCTCTTTGTGCATCTTTTGATGCTCTGCTGATATATTATTTGAGCATATGGTAATGTTGGGCGTTCAAAATATTTTCTGCTTCAAATTGTTCATTTTTGCCATGCATTACATCCTGTTAATGGATTGTGTTAATTGTTCAACCTTAGCGCTTGCTTCATTTTCTTTTAATATCTGTTACATTGTATTCTTCTGTCCCTCTGCTCAGGCCCTTACTGGGTCTGCAGTATCTTGTAGATAAATAAATAAATAAAATTAAATACCAACAGCGAATTCAGCTTAGAAGGTATTCTGCAGCAATTTCGAAGTTTAAATTTGGCAGGTATTGACACCATCTAAAGGGGCCTCACGGAGCCCCCTTATTTCTTTCAGGTTTCCTTGTTGCAGTAAATAAAACGAGGTATGATGACGTCATAGCCGCCTCTTTCTCTGTCTCGCATTTGTTGCAGCACTTTATACTTCTTGGCAGCTGGTCACGGGTGCGTGGCTGCGGCACACGTCAAGTTACATGGCAGGGACGGGGAAGGGGAAAGCGTGGCACCTGCGCATGAGAGAGAACCACACTCTGCAACAGCTTTTTCTCTCTCTCTCTCTCTCTCTCTCTCTTTGCATGTGGCGTTGGAAGGAGAAGGGTCTTTACGTGGTGGCGGCAGAAAAGGGAGAAGCGTGCACAGGCGCACAGAAAATTCGCATTTGAGAGAGAGCAAACATTCGACTGCAGCCTTTTCTTTCCTTTTCCTTCGCGCTCAGCGTTGAAGTGTCGTAAGTGCCGCCGCGGGATTGGGCGGGGTGCTGAGAGCATTTTGGGAGCGCGGTGTGTTCGAATTAACCGTCGAAAGTGCTTGCGTGTTCGAATTACCGGGTGTTTTTGCCCATTAAATACACACAGCTTTGACGGGACCTCATCGTGAGTTCGAATTAATCAGACGCTCTAATTAAGCATGTGCGAATTATCGAGATTCGACTGTATTGAGTGTAGATTGTATTTTAGATATGCAGTGTACTTACGATAATTCAAACTCTGATAATTCATACTTTTGGCTAATTCAAATGAAATTCAATTTTTTGGTTGGCTCTCTATTCTCTCAATGTATTTGAAAGCCTCTTAATTCCAACTCTATTATTCGGTTAATTCATACTTTTCACAGTCCCATACCAGAAAATATGTGCTGCTTTCCCACTACTGTTTAAGAATTTGTGTGCTTATATAATTCTAGCAGTCTAAAATGGACAAATAAGCACCTCGGGTCTTCAAAGAAGAAGGCTTTGTTAGTAAACAAATGCTCGAAACAAAGAAAGCACGCGCATGGTAAACCGTGATGCTTCTCAACTGGTATAGAGAGCTTTGCGCTGAAGGCATATACTTATAGCAAGGAAGCAGTTGGCAATTCACGCTTTCTTTAAAAGGTCTGATCAGGAGTAAATGTGCAACAAACTTGTGGACTTTACACCTCTGCTTTCTCTTCATCGCGTGCAGTTAGGGTTTAAAAACACTTAAAAATTCTTAAATGTGTTTCATCTCACCCAATGTCATCTATATGAGAACTTCTCATAATTCAAACTTCTTGATAATTCAAACAAAATTTGGAGGTCCCTTCAAGTTTGAATTAATGAGGGTCGACTGTATAGCTCATTCACGGTGCACTCGATAACCAACCATCTGTTTAATTGCCCCATTGTTTCCAATTTATATTGATGTTTGTCTGTGACATGTCTTCCTTATAAGTACTAATATTTATGAGACACTTCAACAATGCCTTGAACTGCAGGAATTGTATGGCATATTAACTGCAAAGCCTTTTATTTAGCCGTAATTTGTGTGTGGGGCCAGTAGCAAAACTATCACAAATGGGTATATGCCACAGAAATAGGGTAAATATCACTGCTCATCATTGGTCTTCGGATGTGATGCGACGGCGGTGAGACAGGGACGTCAGAATATATATAGCGGTAGATTACTAGGGAATGGGAAAAGCAATGGCAGCTGATCAAAGGCTAACAGCAACAACGTGCTGATAGATCAATTAGAGGTGCGAGCACTTGGTTTTAGCACGAGTTTGTCTTTCGAATTTGGACACCGTGTCGTGTCTGGAACTATCTGGGACTATAATCTGCTAAATATTAACCAGTGCAGTTTTAGACAGGCACAATCAACATTAGATCATCTTGTTCGGTCAAAAATCGATATGTGAGGCATTTATACGTTAGCATGCAGTGCCAGGCAGTTTTTTGTGACTTCAGTTAGCTTATGAAATTACCTGGAGGTTTGCGCGACTTAGCTATAGGGAGCTTGCACGAACGGCGGCGATGCTATGCACTATGGGTAGGCAGCCATTTTTTTTTTTTGTCAAAGGCGGCTTGGAGTGCAGCTGCGCAGTCGCGTTTGTGAGTGTTGGTGTAGCTTGCAGGCCTGATCTACTGCGACTGCAAGGCAAATTAAGCTCCATGGAGTGTCATGTACAATGTCAGCGTCACTGGTGGATTACACTACAACGCTGTGTCAAAAAGATCTCAAGCGGTTCGTCAAGTTGACGTCACTTACACGCGGGCGACTGTGTATTCGCCCGCACGAAGCTTGAATGGCCCCATTCAGCAAATTTTTGTCTCTTCTTCGTACCGCTCGAGGTCGTTTTGGCACAGCGTTGCAATGTAGTCTTCTAGTGATGCGGACATCGTGTACGACACTCCTCGGAATTAAATTTGCATCACTCGATCACGACTGTACATCTGCTATACTGCTGCACTCCCAGGCCGCCTCCGACGAAAAAATGGCTGCCTACTCAGAATGCATAGCGTTGCTGCCGTTCGCGCAAGCTTTCTATATTAGCAGCACAAAGCTGCGCTGCTTATCTGGCTCCACTGGCAAAGTTTCGTGCATGTCTGCCTCAAACTGCACGACCGAGCACCATGTGTGCATCACTTACTCAGAACTACAACCAGAAAATTTATTTTGTGCATCGACTCCAAGTTGAGGCATTTTAGTACTATGGATAGTCTGTTGGTGTCGCGAGTTATAACACATGAATTTATTGTGAAAGTCTAGGTTTTACTAGAAAGTTTATAGGCCAGATTTACAGGCCACGTGAAGTAGCCATCGCAATAATTCTTCATGTTATTGTGTGTGAAAGGGTAAAAGGACAAACTAGATCTGGATCTCTGTTTTCATAGGGGTGTGCGGCCCTTTGGTGTGTCTTTACTGGTTGCTGGCTGGGACAATGGCCGGGGCTATGTCTTCCAGTGTGATCCATCGGTGAGTCCTTGAATAATCTGCCTTTTCATTTGAACAGACACTCAAGAGTATTATGATTTTTCATGTATTAGTCAAGTACGATTTCTCAATCCCGAAAACACAGCTCTTGCTGTGACAAGCTGATTGGTAAGCGAGATAACATTTGAAAATAAAATGCGAGTGAAGACACCACTCCCCGTGAATTTTGAGTGTCTACTCGGTCCTGCATGGCTTCTAATGAATAAAATTGAAGCATATTGTCATCTGTGGGCGCCATAGGCCTGGCATAGTATGTTTCTGAAAACTTCATGGAGCCAATGTTGTGAAAATACAAAAAAAGACATTTTGAAACTTCTCGTGTATTTTGGTGTGAAATTAAAAAACATGCAATTTCAATCTTGATTTTCTCCACTAATAATGAACTTATTACAGTGAAACTTGTGACATTGTCTTTTTATCTCATCATTATGAGAAACCACCACTGGATATGTCCTTGTTCTAATGAGGACATTCATAAATACAGAATATGACTATCCTTGACTTCAAGCAAAGTTTATTACAGTCAAGCCTGACTGTATTCAACTCGACTAGATGAAATAATCCTTCATTTGGAACAACTTTTGGACACAACATTGCATGAAAGATGTATGGCATCGTGGAAGAAATTTAGTTTGAACACTTGATATATGGAAAATCAGGTGGTGCTAAATGCTCGAAGTTGGCTTTCCCTCATGAAAAGTTTTTTCATCGCGAAGAGGCGTTCCCTCATGCATTTGAGAGAGTGAGGAGGACTATGAGGAGTAGAAACTACCACTTGCCATCGCGTTTCTCTGCTCCCTTTGTTTATGTAATGGCTGCCGTAAAATGGAAGAACTTGGTGGTTATCTTCTAGACTTGCGATGTTTAACACAGTCTAATAGAGAAAAAGAAGTTTGACATCACCTGTGGGTAAGCAGCTTGAGAAGCACATTGCGTATGACAGGGGAAAAAACCATTAGGGCTGAGGAAAACTGGAAGCCTGAGCTGCAGAGGCTGCTTATATCTATTTAGTGTTTTTTTCTTGTTGACATGCTCCTGCATGTAGCCCAGATTGCCAATTGTGAACAAAAAAAAAAAAAACAACTACAACCTAGAAGCTTAGGAAATACAGGTGCTTAACCACTGAATCTGAAACTTGCGATTGCACACGTTTCAGCCGAAGCCACTCAAACCCGTCGAAAGCGAGTGTTGGCCCTGGCGAACCTGTTTTCGTTGTTGACTCGTTGACGCTGCTCTGTCTAGAGCGCTGCTTCCTTGGCTTGCCGCAGTTGCTTCCATTTGGCTTCGAAGGCTCCCGCATCCTCAGTGTGGAATGGTAAACATAAATTCTATCACGGGCCAGCTGTTGCGCTATTCTTGGAAAGTTGTCTACTGTTCAGGCATGCGTACAATCCCCATGTGGAAGTTGTAAGATGAACCTTCCTGCAACGTGAGGCTCTTCACGTGCCCGCGAGCCCGTCACATGATGTTTGTTTACATCTTTTCTTTGCCTTTTCACCTGCTTGACGGCTTTCCTTGGCGAACGATCCATATACAAGGCCTTTGTGATGTCTAAAGGTCACTACGCGCTTCTACCTGTGTGATCTTTACCTTATACAGTGGCATACCATCGAAGCTTACCATTGCCTGAGTGTTCCGCATGTGTCTTGGACTCCTGCAAGATTTGAGAGTTGCTGCCACACTCACAGGCGAGCTGCTCGTGCATCTCGAGTGCCTCAAATCATACACTGGACGGGGCTCAGCTGCCAGCACTGTCCGACTCGCAAGTTAGATCTCAGTTTGACTCGTTTGAATCCATATTCGTACACTGTGCTCACGAGATCCCCCCATACCTCACCAAAGAGTGCCGCTCCCCATCTGCTTCAAGCTCCCCTGCGTACGCTTGAAGTAAGACACACCAGCCTGTGCCGTCGCCCAGGAAGCCCCCGCTAAAATTGACTAGGACCCCAGCGGTAGGATACAGTTTTTCATTGATGCCTTTGTGCTACAGAGACGCTCTGTACGGCTTGCACGACATCACATCTGTCATTGAAGTGCCAATGCTGGCTCGCCTACCGTGCTTCCTCCATGGCCGAACTGGTAGGCATCCACCTTACTGCTGTCCTCGTCCATGAATTGCCGCAAATCTCACGTGAGGAAATCTTCTTGGACTGTAGGTCTGCCCTTCACCAGCTTGCCATTACCACGCTGTTAAATAGTGGAAGAACCCTAAAAGCTGCAAAAGCAAAACTGTGCATAGGCAGAGGTCAGATGTAGGCATTAAGGGGAGATGCTACTCGAAGACACAAAAAAATATTCACCCTGGAGCAGTGAAACTTGAGCTGTTTATGGAACTCTTTATGCTGATTTCAAAAATATAATTAGTTTTTTGCAAGTTGCATACTTTTAGCTCTGGAACATGACAGGGAAAACCTTAACTCTTTTATCCCCCCTCTTTTCATTCCTAAAATTCTATAATTTTTTACCGTTCATAGTTCATAATGTTTCGAATAAAGGTAGAATGCAAATAACTAATTATGAAGCACATGCAAAATATGTAATAGGCGTGAAAAATAATAGACATAAAAAGTTCATATTTCACCTACCCTAGTAAAAGTTCTCATGCAATTTTTTATTATGCAATAAAATATTGAAATTCAAACTAGATAATTGTATTTGTCATATAGTCGAATCTCATTAATTCGAACACTCTTAATTCAAACTCACGATGAGGTCCCGTCAACGCTATGTGTATTTCAATGGGCGAAAACGCCCGGTAATTCGAACGCGCAAGCACTTTCGACGGTTAATTCGAACATACCGTGCTCCAAAAATGCTTTAGCACCCCGCCCAATCCCGCGGCAGCATCTGCGACACCTCAACGCTGAGCGCGAAGAAAAGGAAAAGGAAAGAAAAGGCTGCAGTCGAGTGTTTGTTCTACTCGAATGCCGATTTGCGACGCGCCTATGCACGCTTATCTCTTTTCCGCCGCCGCCACGTAAAGACCCTTCTCTCAACGCCACGCGCAAAGAGAGAAAAAAAAAAAAAAAAACTGTCGCGGAGTTGGTTCTCTTTCATGCGCCGGTGCCACGCTTCCCCTTTCTTTTCCCTGCCTTTCAAGGACGCGCGCGAAGAGAGCAAAAAAAAAAAAAAAAGAGCTGCCGTGGAGTGTTGGTTTATCTCAAATGCTGATCTACCTCTCTCGGTCACGGCTGGTCTGGAGGCGCGAGCTCCCTTTCCTCACGGCCTGAGCAGCCACAAGGAGTACAATGGAACTTTTTCTATACAGTCACGACGGCGCGCTCCGCGAGCGGACGTCGCAAGCCACCCCCTCCCCCCCATCCCCAAAGCTTATTGCGCCGCATGCGCTTCGTTTTGTAAACTAGCTGTGCCCGGCCAATTTCTCCTGCTAATTACTTCTTCCAATTGTAGGAAGTACATGTGCATGTGGGGACAGTTTGGCTTTCTCCGCACTCGGAAAAAGAAGACTGCACACGCAGTGCTACTAGCCACAACAATCTTTATTTTTTAAGACCTGAACACTTTATTTTCGAAGGAGGCGAAAATGCTTGAGACCCGTGTTCTTAGATTTAGGTGCACATTAGAGAAGCCCAGGGGATCAAAATTTCCGGAGAGCTCCACTAGGACGTTCTTCATAATGATATCGTGGTTTTGGGATGACCATGCTGATGCAGAAATCACCGAGTGCGTCCTTGTGCTCGTTTCTACAATGAGACGGGTAATCTCATTTTTATGTCGAGCCACTGAGATAGCGTTACCTTCGCAAGCATGATCGGTGGGACTAGAAGTATGACGTAGCGGCAAAATATACGACCCCGCAAATGGTGTGTTACTATGATACAGGGTGTGGAAAAAACATAATCTGGAGAAATTCCGGCGCACAGCAAGCGGTGGCATGTTCAGCGTTTAGCGTTTTATGCGTGCGTTCGAATGAACACGTCACTGCCAGAGCGGTGTATTTTTGGGGAGCCACGCATATCACCCCTCCCCCTCCCCCGGATCCGCCACTGAACAGGTCGCGCCATTCGGGAAAGTAGCTTGCTGCCGTACGCATCGCACTTGGATACACGTGTCGCAGTGCAGTGAGTTTCCCCAACGTATTTTTCGTGTTCATGCCTGCCTGCTTTTGCGAAGAGATCTTCGTGTCTGCTAGGTGTTCTGGTGGAGCGTTCGCACAGCGCGCACATGGTGTACTGTTGTGTGCCATTTTGCAAGTCGCGGTCTGGAAAGACTGCCGGCGTGTCATTTCACCAATTTCCTGCTGATGAGGAACTATGTGCGAAATGGCAGAGAAACATTTCCCGGAAAAATCTCGTGATTAATGACAAGTCTCCCTCCACTGTCATTTGCAGCAAGCATTTTCTTTTGAGTGACTATGTCAGTGGATACAAAATTAAAAAACTTTCTCCGGGCGTGGTGCCAACCGTATTTGAAGGATACCCATCGTACCTGGTGCCCCCTGCAAAGAAACCACGCAAAGAATCGAAAACTCAGGGACTCTGCTTCTTCAAGCAAACTTACGAAACGAAACGAAAGACAGAGCCAGAATATCACGAGCATGCTGTGTTCGTGTCGTTGGAAGGAGAAGCCGAACAGAAATTTAGTAAATGCACCCAAACAAATACCGATGCACAGCGAGTCATTCGACACATTTCAATGATAGCGAAGCTTCGGTCACAAGTAGTGTACCATCGCTCCACTTGCCGGAAAACCAAGCGGCAGCTAGAAGACATGATAAATGTGGCCAACTTTTACCGTAGTAACAAGCACCATTCGTCACTGACAAAGATTTCCGCGGATGACGAAAAAGGAGAGAACAAAGCTCTCTTTCTGCTTCACCAAATAGAGAGCTACCGGAAGGTTCAATCTTACCCCGAAGAAATCGTCAGAGAGTGTGTAATATGGCGCTTTCTTTCACCCAAAGGCTACGATAATGCACGAGCTGAGCTTCTGACACTACCACATAAGTGCACACTGCAGCG